TTTTGAGTTGGAGTCTCACTCTGTCACCCAGGCTGGAGGGCAGTGGCCGCTCCCGGACACCGCAGCCTCGACCTGCTGGGCTCTGGCGATCTTTCCGCCTCAGCCTTCCGCGTAGCCAGAACTACAGGCGCTCACTACCATGCCCGGCTGATTTTTTGATTTATTGTAGAGATGAGGTCTCGCTGCCCAGGCGGGTCTTGAACCCATGGGCTCAGGCAATCCACTCACCTCAGCCTCCCAAAGGCGCAGGATTACAGGCTGAGCCACCGAGCCCGGCAAGACCAATTTTAGATGAAAACTTAAAGCCAAAGAGATAAGCAGAACATCAGAGGGACACACCACATACACTCTGAGATGTTTGCCAGTAGTGAACATTTAGACTTTGGTTCAGTCCTGTGCAGGGCAAGAGGAACAGCAGCAGGGCCACCCAGATGTAGAGTTTTGTAGGAAATGCTTCCCATGTTAACCTGGAACATCAGGCTCCACCCTAAAGCATATATGATTAGATTTAAACCCTTCACCTCATTCCACGGAGGCTGAAAGAGGCTGTCTTGGGTCTCAGCAGAGCAGGAGGACAAAGGAAGACATTCTTGAGAATCTTGCCCAAAGATCAGCCCTTGTGGTGATACATACAGGGTGTATACAGCCTGGCTCAGCTGAGGAAGCCATGTTGGCCTGAGGTGGTCCCTGACTATGAGGGCCCCAGGTGTCTGGCAAAGCCTCCTTTAGCTAGGTCCATCTATCCTGGACTTTGGGAAATTGCCATAATTATTTTTTCAAAGACAATGAACAGCAAGCTATCAAACACAACCAGAACACAATGGAACAGTACACATCAGAGAAAACATGAAAAAATAGACCCAAGGAGGTTTTAGATAAAGGACATATCACATCTAAAGTCATATGACTTTAAAACAACTCAGCTTAGGGGTCAGGCACAGTGGCTCAAGCCTATAATCCCAGCATTTTGGGAGGCCGAGGTGAGAGGACTGCCTGAGCGCAAGGGTTTGAGACCAGCCTGGGCAACATGGCAAGACCTCGTCTCTACAATAAAATAAAATAAAAATTAGCCAGGTGTGGTAGTGCGCGCCTGTATTTCCAGCTACTTGGAAGGCTGAGACAGAAGGATTGTCTGAGCCCAGCAGGTTGAGGCTGTGGTGGCCGTGAGCATGACACTGCACTCAAGTCTGGGTGACAGAGTGAAACTCCTACTCAAAAACAAAAACAAGAAATAACTCAGCTCTGAAAATATCTGCAGGACTAAGAAACTATATAAAGTATGTAGAGGTTTGCAAAATAACCAAAACCTCCAAAATGAAAACTATAAAAACAGAATTAAAAACCAGTGGGGAGGCCGGACTTGGTGGCTCAGTCTCTAACCCCAGCACTTTGGGAGCCGAGGCGAGTGGATTGTCTGAAATCGCGGGCTCGAGACCAGCCTGGGCAACTTGGTGAGACCTTGTCTCCACAATAAAAAAAAATAATAATAAGCCAGGCTCGGTGGCTCAGCCTGTAATCCTGCGCCTTGGGAGGCTGAGGTGAGTGGATTGCCTGAGCCCGTGGGTTCGAGACCCGCCTGGGCAACTTGGTGAGACCTCATCTCTACAATAAATTTTAAAAAACTAGCTGGGCGTGGTAGCACGCACCTGTAGTTCTGGCTACTTGGAAGGCTGAAGTGGAAGGATCGCTGGAGCCCAGCAAGTCGATGCTGGGGTGGCCATGAATATGCCACTACACTCCAGCCTGGGCAATGGAGTGAGACTCCAACTCAAAAAAAATTGAAATACCAATGGGAATATTTGGCAATACATTAGTCATTGTAGAAGAAATAGCACACTACAGTATAAATCAGAAGAAATTTTTCCAAATACAGTAGACAGTACACATAGAAAAACTACAAAATAGAGGGCATAAGATTCTGTAAGAATATAGTGAGAAGGACTAGCATTGGAGGTACCAGGAAGAGGAAACAATACTTGAAGAGAAAATGGCTGAACATTTTTTAAAACGAATGGAAGACATGAATCCAGACTCAAGAGGCCTACAAACAAATTTTTTAAAATCCACATCTAAACAACATAGTGAAACTTCAGAAAAACCAGAGATAAATTAAAAAAAGTAAAACAGACATAAGAAAATAAAGATCATCTTGAAAAGAAGTTAGGTAACAATGGGCAGCAGCATTCTCAATTACAACAGTAGAAGCTAGGAGAAACTGGACTCTGTTCCAATGCAAAGAAAGAAAATATAACGATACATAGTGAAAACTTCTTTCACAAATGAGGGTGAAATAAAGACATTTTCAAGCAAACATAACCAAAGGAATTCACCAAGAGAAGATTCTAAAAGTTAGATTTCAAGCAGAAGGACGGTGATCCCACAAGGTGGATCTGATATGTGAGGAGAAACAGAAGAGCCAAGAGAGGCATAAATATGAAGACGTGTAAATAAGCCTTGATGACATAAGACAACAGTAACAATTTTGTCCAGTGATTTTTAAAATTAGGTTTAAAATACAGGGAACAAAAACATAACAAGTCAGGATGGAAGTAAATTAAAAAAAAAAAAAAAGTACTACATTATCCAGGGTAAAATAGGTATTAACTTTAAGCCTTGACAGATTATCTAGAAATGGTTTAATTTATAAAATAACTACTAGATGATTAGAGAGTAAACAAAATAGTGGAGAAAATGGAAAGATATTTTCCAAACTGTTTATTTAAAATGAGAAGGAAGCTGGGCTCCGTGGCTCAGCCTGTAATCCCACGCTTTGGGAGGCTGAGGTGAGTGGATTGCCTGAGCATGCAGGTTCGAGACCCGCCTGGGCAACTTGACGAGACCTCATCTCTACAATAAATCAAAAAATCAGCCGTGTGTGGTAGCGCATGCCTGTAATTCCGGCTACTCGGAAGCCTGAGGCGGAAGGATCGCCGGAGCCCAGCAGGTCTAGGATGCGGTGGCTGGAAGCGGCCACTGCACTCCAGTCTGGGCGACAGAGTGAGACTCCAACTCAAGAAGAAAAAAATGAGAAGGAAGAAAAAAATTGGAAGCCGGGCTCGGTGGCTCAGCCTGTAATCCCAGCGCTTTGGGAGGCTGAGGTGAGTGGATTGCCTGAGTCCGCGGGTTTGAGACCCGCCTGGGCAACTTGGTGAGACCTCATCTCTATAATAAGTCAAAAATTAGCCAGGCGTGGTAGCGCGCGCCTGTAGTTCCAGCTACTTGGAAGGCTGAGGCGGAAGGACCACTGGAGCCCAGCAGGTCGAGGCTGCAGTGGCCAGGAGCAGCCACTGCCCTCCAGTCCGGGTGACAGAGTGAGACTCCAACTCAAAAAAAATAAAAAATAAAAATAATAATATGTTATTTGGCCGGGCTCGGTGGCTCAGCCTGTAATCCCAGCACTTTGGGAGGCCGAGGCTAGTGGATTGCCTGAGCCCGTGAGTTCAAGACCCGCCTGGGCAACTTGGCGAGACCTCGTCTCTACAATAAATCAAAAACTAGCCAGGCGTGGTAGTGCACACCTGTAGTTCCAGCTACCTGGAAGGCTGAGGCAAAAGGATCGCCAGAGCCCAGCAGGTTGAGGCTGCGGTGGCCGGGAACGTGCCACTGCACTCCAGTCTGGGTGACAGAGTGAGACTCCAACTCAAAAAAAAAAAAAAAAGAAAGAAATTGGACCAAAGAATATATTTAAAAGCACAAAAAAGACTAGGCACAGCTCATGCCTATAATCCCAGCACTTTGGGAGACTGAGATAGGAGGACTACTTGAGCCCAGGAGTTTAAGTCAAGACTGGGAAACATAGTGAGACCTCGTCTCCACATAAAATTAGCTGTGTTGTGGTGCATACCTGTAGTCATAGCTAATTGGGAGGCAGAGGCAGGAGGACTGCCTAAGCCCAAGGGGTTGAGGCTGTGGTGAGTCATAATCATGCCACGTAACAGAGCAAGACCCTGACTCAAAAAAAAAAAAAAAAAAAGCACAAAATAAGATGGTAGATTCAAACCCAAATATACCAGGAATTATATTAACCAAATTATGGGCAGTTAGAAGACTTAAATGACAGCATAAGTTGCTGAACAATTTTGAATGGTAGCGTTTCCCAAAGCCACTTAGCCCTCTCAAGCAGTGGGCAAGAAATAGCATTTTCCTGATGACTTAAATTGCCCACTGTGACATAATTGCTTCTTGACCATCACACAGTGTCTCCCTCAGAGACCAGGGAACCAGGAACACATCTCTTTCACTTCCCTGCACAGTGGCTGTGTGTTTTTTTTGTTTTTTTGGCTCCTGCATCTGCTTTATATAATTCTTCTGTCTCAGTGCCATTTGCTAAGCCATAACAGAAAACAGAGACCACAGATTAAGAGCTTTACCTACAGAGTCCCAAGAGCCAACAATGAGCAGAGGACAACTCCACACTTCTTATAAAAGGGCTTTTTCACAAGGAGCATTTCATTTCAACTTTGGGTGGTCAGATACTCTGCTTCAAGAACAATTTCGCATGGAGCCAGAAGTCTTAGAAATTTGCCCTAAGCTGGGCTCAGTGGCTCAGCCTGTAATCCCGCGCCTTGGGAGGCTGAGGTGAGTGGATTGCCTGAGCCCGTGAGTTCAAGACCTGCCTGGGCAAC